TCTTTTTACTACTGTCCTAGAAGACAGCTAGATTATTATTATTATTTTCTTGCCTGGGACTTGATTTCCCTCCTAGTTTCATTAGCCATGAAATTATTCTTGCCTTCCAGATTATTTCCATATGCTTTTAAAAACCAGGCCAATTAAATTTGGCAGCTAGCCTTTGAAGCAAGTGATACAAAAGTGAATGTCATGCAGAAAAAAGAACCCAACAAATGTAATGACGAACATGAATCATTTCAGTTACCCAAATTTGGACTGTAAATCTTCAGTCCTGGTTCAGAATAATAGACTGGCCTAACCAGAAAGGTTTATTCCAATCTAGTCCATGCACATTAAACTAGAATGAATGGATTTAATCCACATTTACCCCATTGATTTAGTGACCTCAGCTGGCCCAAATATTGTGGAGTCTGAATAATTTGGATTTACTATGGACTGGAATGTTTGAATGCAAAGATCTCTCAAGGTGGTAGTAGGACAATATTCATTTAGAAAGGCCAGTCGTTGCTGCCATCTTGACACTATGCCTCAGTTTGGACAGCTCTCATAACAAGCCTGAGAGGAATGTTAGGGTGTGAGAGGATGCCTGGTCAAAGGTCACTCAGTGAGTTTCATGGCTATTTCAACTCTAGTCCTGTTCCTAACTAGGTATATTTACTACACACATTGAATAGATTTGGCCCTATTAAGACTCTATCTTTGATTGCTATGTGCACCTTTTTGAAAGTTTATATATCCTTTATTTTATTTCTTCACACCCTCACATGTCTGTTTGGATACAAATATGTTTCCATTGGCTGCCGCACAGTTAGCTAGCATTGTATTAGCATGATTGCTTATTTGGTACAATGCCCAAAAGACAGATGAGTTTACATGAGAAGAAGAAAAACTGCTCATTGTTAAGGGTAACACAAAGATTAGATAATGGCTGTCAAAAAAACAAAAAAACACTCAATATGATATGCACAACTGTCATAGGAACACTATTCTTCATATAAAACTGCTCTTTCATTTATTTATCTTTTATTCTTACGTGGCTTGGAATTTCTTCAAATAAACATTTTAACACCTTCAGAGTAGGTACAACCCAGAGGACTATTATTTAGACCTGTGAATTAGAACTTTGCTACACTCTTGCCTCCTTTCCATACATACTACCGCCAGAGTGGAAGCCACTTTCCCATGATTTAACCTCATCACAGGAGGGCACTTGTGTATATTCTAGCCACGAAGCTGGGTTGGATCATGTGGGTCTTCCGCATGTGATCAGTTTAATGGTCTATTAGGTTCTGACCATTATCCATGATGGCAGGGATAGGATCAACATTTGAAAGGCCACAGCTTCCCAAACCCTGGTCTAAATCAAATGCTTGGGTCCTTATCCCAGTGTGCATATATCCAGAAGGACAGAAGAGGGTAGAGAGAAACAGACTGAAGCACTTCAAGAAGTTTTCAGTGTCGGGCATGCCTGGGCCCTATAATTCCATACAGCAGCCTAGATGTTAGAACAGGATACTTAGAAGGTTTGCTGAGTCACTAGTTCTCTTGGGAAATCTCAATATCAGAACATACTGGAAGTTTGGCAGTCTTCCCTCTCCCTCATAGGCAAATAGTATGCTGGGAAAGATTAGAACCCAAGAGAGTCCCATGACTATCATGGATTTTTGTGTGTGAGAGGGTTGCTTCAAACAAGCCCCCTTTTCCCAAGCTTGCTATTTTTTAAACAAGAAATTAAAAGCATTTCATCTCATTTGTTTTATATTACAGCCTATGGCTCAGGCCAATAGTGTTTAGATCAGTCGACAACAAGAGGACAGCAAAGTGAAGCACTGAACTGGAGTGTAGCTGGGAATCACTTGAGGAGATGCTAATATTCTATCATGGGCCTATCAAAATGCTATTCTCCCTTTTTTCTTGCTTTTATTTCTTTGTTTGCATGCAGCCAAAAATGACAAAGAGTTGGATCCAGAGTTGCGCTTTTGGTGGAGTTATCTTTTAGTGGAGGCTCTTTTTGTGTGTGTCAATTTCTTCTTCCTTCTGCACCCCTCTGGAAAAGTTTTCCAGAGGGCCGGGAGATGCTCTAGAGCAGCTCTGGGGCTCTGTAGAGGGAAGGGGAGATTGCAATTTATTTACTGTGTTTATAACAAACTTTTAAATCTAAGGAACTCAAGGTGGAATACATGGTTCTGCCCTACTACATTTGATCCCCGCAACAATCCTGTGAAGTAGGTTAGGATGAGATGAGAAGCAGTGACTGGCCCAAGGTCACCCAATGAGTTTCATGGGTAAGTGAGGAGTAGAAGAGGTCCTGGTCCAAAGCCTTAACCACCATACTATACTGGCTCACATTGGCTCACATTAGCAAGGAGCACATCCCCACTCCCTTCTTTCCAGTGAGGAGCCTCTGCTAGATCTCAGATCAGCAGCCATTTTGGACTAGAGTGGATGAACCTATCAATTTTCACTTCTCTCTTTTTTTCATTTTCCCAATCTTAAATTTCTAAAAAATCTTATTTAAATTCTTCAGCATTTTAGTGTGGATTTCTCCAAGAAATACACTTGTATGCGGTTTTTAACAAATATGCACAGTTTTTCAAGCAATTTTCCGTAATGCTTTGAATTTTCTGCATGTTATTTTCACTAATCTGTGCATTTTTGTACATTTTCTTGGCTGAAGATTGCCAAATTGGGGAAATCGTAACTTTCGAGGGATGGTTGTGTTTCAGTTCGCTCAGTGTTTCGGAAAGTGCAGATTTGCTAAACTCACCTGTGAATGTGAAAGGCATCTTATTTCTCCATCAACACTAGTTTGAGCCCAATCCAAAATTGAATGCACCTTGAAGACTAAGACGTTTATTATGGTCTAAGCTTTAATGTGCTATAGTTTATTTCACTCAACTGTTCATTCCAAGTACAATTGCTGAGTAGCCTCCCATTCATTTCAGAGTGTTTTCTCCAAATATACTTTTGAAACACTTTTTCACGCAATAGGTACATGATCCTATGGAATTCACTGCCACAATTTGTGGTCATCTAAGACATTACCTTAGATTACTATTAAAATATTTTATTTTTTAGGATTTGGTGTACATATGAAGAATCGTCCTTGAAAAGACTATTAGGTGTGCTCACTAAGAAACGCGTCCATGTAAAGAAGCAGTATTGCCTCCAAAATCCAGAAAGCAAAGGGAAAGAACAGAGAGTGGCTACCTTGTGAGTTCCCACAAGGCTGCTATCAGAAAATAAATGCTGGTCTAAATGGATAATAGTTTGATCCAGAATGGCAATTGTTACATCCCTAGTGATAGGAATAATAGAACACAAAATTACCAGTTATGCTTGCATTGGATAAAATTGAATGTATGCAACTGCCTACCTCATAATGAAGTCCCAAGGATGCAATATCTTTGTTTCTTATCCCTCAGATCTGATTATCCTGTTGCATAGATTCTTGTTTCACTTTTAGACTATGGTCCCCCACCACAATCTATTTTAGTTAAATAGTTTCTATTGCTTTCTATCACCAAAGTTTCACTAGGTGGCAGGATTCTGCTATCTCTTGCAAAGCAGCAGCTACATTCAAGACATGGGAAGCTTTTCTCTCTCCAAAAGAAATCTACTAGTATGTTGCCAGAATGTTTAATAATCAAATATCATGATACATGCATATGATATTTGTACATATGAACTGCCTAGAACCACTGTTTAAGAAAGAAGCTAGTGTCTTTTTTCATATAGAATGAGGCACTGTTCCTTTACAAACAGAGGATAACTTTTAAAACATATTTGTAATCTTATACTTCCAAGTTATTTTGCTTAACTATTTGAAAAAACAAACTGGCCTAACAGGGCTGAACAAAGTTGACTTGAGCATCGCATCCATTTTAAACAGGCATCATATTCTTAGTTACCTGTTTTGAAGAACTAGAAGACAATGCAAGATCCTCATTCTCTTTTCCTTTCTTATTGAAACATGATCTTATGCAAGTTTACTCAGAAGTAAATTTGATTGAATTAAATAATGCTTGATCCTAAGTGAAGTAATGCAATATATTTGTCTCACTGAATTCACTCAACTTGCTCCAAAATTAGTTTAGATAGCATTGTCATTTCCTTCTAAGTAAATATGCATAGGATAGGGCTGCCTCAGCCTACCTATTTCTTCAAGTTAAGATGTTCTGATTTATAGTAAGTAATCCAAAATTAAACCTAAAACTTACTCTCTCAAGCATTATGGACATAGAAGTGTCGTATTCAATGGTAAACACAAGTTGCTCCCCAAACACAATAAAATGGCACCCTAATTAACTCTCGGATTCTTTTTTTTAAAGAGTTCTAAAACATGATTCCCACCCACCCCATACAAAACTCCTGAAAATGCAGAAGACTTCTCACATGATCCATAATGCAGATCACAAATCTCCTACAAATTATGAAATATACATCAGGACATAAGCAGCATCTCATAAAAGCAATTCAAGCTGGTGTGAGGCTGATAAATATTAAGCAACAGTTTCATCAACATGCTTTCCAAGATTCCTCAAAACGGTAAGCACATTTTCTCTCTCGCAGCCATACATTCGTTCCTTTGCCAAGAAGACTGGAAGGAAAGTGTCACAAATCTCTCATCAAAGGAGGGCTTGCTAGTTGAAGTCCCAGAGTCCTAACTGTACAGAGTTCTTTCAACACCATCCAGCAAGTTCAACAGGAGCTAAAAGCAATCAGCATCTCATAGGACTTGAGTATTTTTGTGCAAGGCTTTGTACTTTGATCGACATAAGAAACTTTCAGAAATATTAGCTTTTTCAAATTAAACTCAACTGCTTAAGAATACACTTGAGAATTCCATTAACCCAAACCTAAATCTGGAGCCGGAATATAACCTTCATCAGGATTTCTCAACTAGACATACTAACCCTTCTTCCACGGAAACAAAACATCCTGCAGATAACTTTCCTTTACACAAAACATTGATAAAGACATTCTCAACGTCCTACCTTGGCAATCTGCAAAGGCTGCTTTTCTTCCTTGCCACCTTGAAGTCTAAAGCCCCAGGGTGCTCCTCCAGTCATGGTGATGCAGATATAATCCCCAGTGCCCATGTTTTTTTCCTTGGGGAGGTTAGGCAGCATTCATTTGCAGAAGTAATTTGAGGTGGGGGGAAAGAGAGAGAAATCCTAGATGCTGTGGATGTTCACTGAACTTGAAGCTTGCTTTCCCCTTTGGTGTTAGAAAGGGAGAGAGAGACAGAGGCGCAAGCTCGCTCCTGCTGACACTGCCTGCACACTGCACTCTGTAGCATAGTCATTGACTGAGAGCGAGGGAGTTTTCCCGGATCGAGGGAACAGCCCCCTCTTTCGTCAGTTGGCTCTGCTCAGCCCACCTTCATGGCAAAGCAAAATGATGTCGAGGAAACACAAACGAAAGGGACTATTTGACCATGAGGCAGAAAAGGCTATATTTAAACCCAAGAGCATTTGCCCATGACAACTAAATCAAAACAGCAGAGACGAGGACTTGTAAATCTCCCCCAGACAGAGAGTTTACTTTTGTAAATGTTACCAGGCTTGTTAAGTTACAATCACAGCACGTTTTGTATTCTCCTAATCCAAACAAAGTGTGTATATATATTGGGAAGAGATGGGTTCACCTCCACCGCCCTCTTCTCTTATATACACTATATTGAAATGTCCCACTGAGAATGGATTAGCAACAATGCTATTCACATTCATGGGATTGTTGCAATGATCAAGCAGCAGTCTTGTCTTCCGAAGGTTTTAGCCCTTCTCTCTCCATTAAAGACTTTACAGGATTTCTAACCAGAAAACATCCAAGGTTGACATAATGTCTTTTCTCCTACCGAAGAAGGGTACCAAATGCATTTTGCTCCATGATGAATGCACTCCAAACAGGCAGGTCTTAAACATTGGGTTTGCTTGGCATGTGACATCAGGGTTTCAGAAGAGGTGGTGATGAACCAATTGGGAGGGGGATCGCACAGTGGAAGGGAGGGGCGGGAAATCCCACAGACAAAGGTGTCATGCTAATATGTAACCTTGGTGGGTGTTCAGAGGGATCTAAGGGCAAGACGAGCACAGACAGGGAAAGTGTCGCCTCAGTCAGTATCATGCACTGAATGATAAGCCATGGTGACCCACATAAATCCTCAGAGCCCAGACATAAAAATATCTCAAATGCATTATTTCAAAATTCTCATGTCTTGAAGGCAATTGTAAAATGTGCTTTTGTGTAAGTGTATCAGACTCAGGGGATACCTAGGACTGTGACAGAAACTGGGCCTACAAAGGGATGTAGTGAAATGGCATTTACAGGAACAGGATTTGATGGATGACTATCTGACCATGTATAGTGGTACCGCTAGTTACGAATTTAATTCGTTCCGGACGTCCGTTCTTAACCTGAAACTGTTCTTAACTAGAGACATGCTTTCGCTAATGGGGCCTCTTGCTGCTTCTGTGCCGCCAGCACATGATTTCCGTTCTCATCCTGGGGCAAAGTTCTCAACTCGAGGTAACTCTTCCAGGTTAGCGGAGTTTGTAACCTGAAGCATTTGTAACCTGAGGCATTTGTAACTTGAGGTACCACTGTATTGGCCTGTTATCAAAGTGGTCCTTTAGCAAAAACGAGTTGATGATGCGAGTAGGAAGAAAGGGAGATTGGAGTGCAAGGAGTCTTGATTAAAAAAAAATAATGCTTTGTGCATCTGTGTCTAATCTTGCCCCTTTCTAACATGTATTAATTGCTGTGTGTGTTTTCTCTTTTTGTAAATCTACTAAATAATAAAATAAATTAAAATCAGAGTTAAGGGGTTTTTTCAGGACAGTGTAGAGCATGTGTGCTGTGTCTCATTTGTGGCACTCACCCTCCTCCTGATTGGAAATGCTCCGGTGGGGGGTGGGAATGTGACAAAATGATGATGGGTCAAAGAAGTTTAGTTGGGGAGAGTGAGAAAAATCCTGAGGAATGTTGGAGGGTATGACAATGTCTAAATAGGCCTTACATTTGTGAGAGAAGGAATGCTATGGCTGCTTCTGGGTTTCCTTGTGCACTAGGGCCCTATATGACTGCTTAAGCATTGCTTTTCTGAAAAACTGCTCCTTACTACTGATAAATTGTTCCTTAATTGTCCTGTTATTAACCAGTTCCTGCCAGGAGAAGTGTGTGTTAATTACTGATTTCTTTTCACTTTTTCTTTTATATTTTTTGTGGAAAAGTACGATTTTACTATAAAAATAAGGCAAAGCAAGGAAATTTTACAGTCTTAATACTAATAATAATTTATTATTTGTACCCCACCCATCTGACTGGGTTTCCCCAGCCACTCTGGGCAGCTGACACAATATATTAAAACATAGTAAAACGTTAAACCTTAAAAAGCTTCCCTATACAGGGCTGCCTTCAGATGTCTCCTAAAGGTTATATAATCACTCATATGCTTGACATCTGATGGGAGGGCATTCCACAGGGTGGGCACCACTACTGGGTATTAACACATAACGTGTTAATACTTAGTAGCTAATGTAAAATGAGGGACGCGGGTGGCGCTGTGGGTAAAAGCCTCAGCACCTAGGGCTTGCCGATCGAAAGGTCAGCGGTTCGAATCCCCATGGTGGGGTGCGCTCCCGTTGTTCGGTCCCAGCGCCTGCCAACCTAGCAGTTCGAAAGCACCCCCGGGTGCAAGTAGATAAATAGGGACCGCTTACCAGCGGGAAGGTAAACGGCGTTACCGTGTGCGGCTCTGGCTCGCCAGATGCAGCTTGTCACGCTGGCCACATGACCCGGAAGTGTCTCCGGACAGCGCTGGCCCCCGGCCTCTTGAGTGAGATGGGCGCACAACCCTAGAGTCTGTCAAGACTGGCCCGTACGGGCAGGGGTACCTTTACCTTTACCTAATGTAAAATAGAATCAATGTGAAATTGTGCTGTTTTACTATAAAGATAAGAAAAAAGTGAAAGTGAAATGAAACCAGTAGTTTAACACTGTGAGGAACAAGAAAATGGGAACCTTAAGGGGAAATTCAGTAGTTACCGTATTTTTTGCTCTATAAGACTCACTTTTTCCCTCCTAAAAAGTAAGGGGAAATGTGTGTGCGTCTTATGGAGTGAATGCAGGCTGCACAGCTATCCCAGAAGCCAGAACAGCAAGAGGGATCACTTCTTTTGCTGTGCAGAGATCCCTCTTGCTGTTCTGGCTTCTGAGATGCAGAATATTTTTTTTCTTGTTTTCCTCCTCCAAAAACTAGGTGCGTCTTGTGGTCTGGTGTGTCTTATAGAGCGAAAAATACGGTACTTATTAGTAATGCTAGCTGTGCTGGAGGAGGCAATAAGAAAAAGAGAACGCTATGCCTTCCAGAAAGGAAACTTCTAATTAAATGCACAGAAGCACTTTAAAGCATCAACACAAATTCACCGTTTTACATTGGACAGGCTTGTGCCTACAATTGCATATTTTTTGGTGGGGAGGGTGGCAGCTACAAACTATATCTTGGGACTGGGGGAATAAGAGGGCAACACAGACAATTCTAGAATAGACTAGTGATGACATTGCCTTTCATCCAGACTAAGTTAATTGATTTTAATTCTGATTAAAATCAATGGGTAAAATTAGTTATGACTAAAATCTCATTTATTTCAAAAGGGAACTAAGCAATTAATTCATTCTGGATCCAAACCATTGTCTGGTTAGTATAAAAAGTGAGTTGTGAAAGATGGCAATTCCAGGTGAAACAGCACTCTCCCATTTCTTTTCCAAATGCCTAGTGACCCCAACAGAGGGATTTCTGAGATTCAGCATGAAGATTGGTGTATCACACCCATGCACTTCATCAAAATGTGAGGCCAGTTGTCACATAAGTACACAACTTGCAGAGAAATATTCATTCTAAGAATGTGAGTCCCACAAGAGGGGTTTAAAAAGTAGTTCTCATAGCCTTATTATCTCTACGAATTACTTCTTATTGAGCATCCATAATTCCAGTTACCATAAACGACTATCTAAATTTTTTATTTATTGGTATATCTTGCTTTTAATGCTATCTTTATCTCTTTCCACATTCTTTGCCGGATTCTTTTGGGATTTATGCGTTACTGTACATAAATCGGAAAATGCTTCATTGCAAAAGCATCAACAGCTGTCTTACTGTAAAAGCTAAAACAGAGATCAAAATGTATGTTAAACAAATTACTGAGGAAACACAGTATTTCAGTGACTTGTGCGATAGAAAAGAGGCTCTTCTACCAGTTAAGAAACACAGTTTAAGATTCTCAAGAAACAAAATTCTGGTCCTTTTACCTTTTATACCACGATGGGAAACTTTTTTCAGTCTGAAGGCCTCATTCCCCAATGAGCAACTTTCCAGGAGGTACATGCTAGTTGTGGGAAGGGCCAGAAGCAAAAAGTGGGAGGACTAATGGATGTAGATCTTACCTTTGTACACAGTGTTATATTCCAGCAGCCAGCCATGCACAAGTCTAGAGATTGTTATGCACCCAAACAAGAGGCATTACCTTTTCACAGTTCAAGGACACATTCCAGCCAGGTGGAAGCACCTGAGGACATGCAGCAAGGCCACTGGGAGAACCCACAGGGCCAAACAAAGAAGGTTGGAGGTCCATATTTGAACCCCAAGTCTGACGTTCCCTACTCTCCGCTAGATAATCCTCTGGGTGTCTTCTAATTCTATGATTCAATGTGTTGTAATCATCCATCCTGTGAGGGACTGTTTCAACGACTGTTTCAACTATCTAGAGTTTAAAGTCATAAACTGACTTTTCAAAGATAAACTGAATTGCTTTTAAAAACACACGCATCACAAAATCTCTTTAAAATTTATAATGTGTGATGCTTTTTGTTTTGATTATGATTCAGGCCCTTTACCCACACACTTGAGCTTGTTTTCCGAATCTTGTCATGTGCTCTGAGAAACTGAAGTTTGAGGCAAGTGTCTGCAATTAATTTTGGCTGCAATCTTGGCCTGCAATTTAGGCTTATGAGATCTGAGCAGGGATCTTTGCTGAATGAGACACCAGAAAGCTGGTTAACTCATTGCAGGAGTGGATTTCTGGTCGATATATTAAAGAAGAATTGGCCTCTTTTGAGACTCTCTCAAGGCACACACTCCTTGGCTAACTAGTCAGAGCAGGAGGGGTGGGAGCTATAGCAAAACAGTGCTGCCCCTCACAGTGGAGAACAGAAAGGCTGCTTGGAAACTGCAGCTGATCCATTCCTACCTGGCATGCAAAGACCCCAGAGGCTGCCACTCCTTGTCCCGGAGTCCCATTATAGTCTGGTTACAGTTTCTGATTGTGCAAAAGCAGAGGTCAATGTACACACAAACACAGTGTGTGTGTGTGTGTGTGTGTGTGTGTGTGTGTGTGTGTGTGTAGTTGCCATGTGAAGGAGGATGCATCACAACTGTGAGCAAGCAAACAGGAGGCAGGGCAGCAGGTAAAGCACCAAAGCACTCTGGAAGGGACAGCAGAGCCAAATCTGCTGTCCCTTCCAGAGTGCTGCTTGGTAGCTTTGGCCCTGGGCTGGGAGAAGTCGGGGGGTTGGGGGGGGGAGTCATAAGTGGCAGAAGGTCTTGTGTCTGCTTCTTGCCAGCTTTTTCTCTGCTTAGTGTCACATATTTGTCTCTCACATGCACTTTATGGGCATTTGGTGGCACACTGTAAAAAGGTGGTTCTGCCATTGTTCATTCCCCACCACCATGGAAGTGCATCTGACACCTTCATTGTATAGTTGTTGTTTTTTCATAAGTTGTGGAATTCCCTCCCCATCTAGCTTTTAAATTATACCGCTTTTAGCAAATGTTGAAGACTCACTTCTTTACCCTGGCCTTTGAAACCTGAGATGTGTGTTTTGAGGACTTCCCCTATTTTTTGTGATTGTAATCTGTTTTAACTGTTTTTAATTCTTAATTTGAAATGGTTATAAGCCACCCTGGGACCTGCTGGTGGAAGGCAAGTAATAAATGTAAATAATAATAGGTTGAAGATATGCCTCTTTCCATTCTTAAGGAAATGAGCCCTGAATGCTCACTGGAAGGACAGATCCTAAAGCTGAGGCTCCAAGACTTTGGCCACCTCATGAGAAGAGAAGACTCCCTGGAAAAGACCCCGATGTTGGGAAAGATGGAGGGCACAAGGAGAAGGGGACAACAGAGGACGAGATGGTTGGACAGTGTTCTCGAAGCTACCAGCATGAGTTTGACTAAACTGCGGGAGGCAGTGGAAGACAGGAGTGCCTGGTGTGCTCTGGTACATGGGGTCATGAAGAGTCGGACACAACTCAATGACTAAACAACAATGCCTCTTTACCCTGACCTGGGATAGCTCAGTTGGTGGAGCAGGACACTCTTAATCTCAGGGGCCTGGGTTTGAGTCCCATGTTGGGCAAAAGATTCCTGCATTACAGGGGGTTGGACTAGATGACCCTCGTGGTCTCTTCCAACTCTACAGTTCTATGATTCTCTCCCTCCCTCCCTCTCTCTCTCTCTCTCTCTCTCTCTCTCTCTCTCTCTCTGTGTGTGTGTGTCTGTTTTAAACTGGTTCTTCTGAAATTTAGCTCAGTTGCAGCATTAAGGGGCAGTCTTGCCCACATACCTGCATTTCAGATCAAGTGTGACTTCACCTCCTAAATCTGTGGATATTGTGGAGTATAAACATAACCACAAAAATGCTCTTAAACTGAACTGCTTATATCAAAGAACAGGCCTCTGAACCTCGGTACGCATCTTTCCTTCCCTCACTAAACTCTCCCCCACTTCCCCCCCAACATGAAACAACTCCCCTAATTCAGCTTCACATGTGGAACACCTGTGGAACACACCTTTAATCCTTAGAGCAATTACTTAAATAGCTTGCATTCCTCTTCTGTGTTGTCAATTGGGAATAACTGTGGGATAAAACCTTAACAGATGTGGTATTATCAGCAGACCATGTCACTTTTCTTTTATGTTATCTCCCGTAAACTAGTATATCGGCTTGACAGTTGTGCTTAGCTACAAAAGAAGAAAAGAGTAAAATATGTAATCCGGAATAGCCAGAAGAGAATTTAAAACATTCTGTCTGTACAGATAGAAAGCTTTCCAAAGCAGACTATGAACCTGTTGGAAACTGGTGCCTATTACAACACTGTTTACATGGCATAATTTTGTAATGGTTTTGCAAAGCAAGCGTTCAGCTTAACCTTCAAGGATCTTCAACATTTTTGTTAAATAACTTAATTACTGTGATTATAAATTTATATCATCAAATATATACCACGATGGGAAAATTATTTCCAGCTGCACACTCCTTGTGTTTGGAAACCTTATAATGGGTGTGGGAACCTTTGGCCTTCCAGATGTTGATGAACTACAACTCCCATCAGGCTTGGCCAGGCTTACTAGGGCAGATGGAAGCCGTAGTTCAACAACATCTGGAAGGTGAAAGGTTCCCCATAAGAAGATTCAGTAGGAGAGGGACTGTGAGTTACAGCATGACTTCAGCAGCTGCCTGAATGGCAAAGTGAAAGGGTAGTGATACTTTGTGGAAGCTGAGGCCTAGATACAGTATTTGATCAGACTAACTTGATTCTTGGCTAATTTGTAGCAAGCAAAGCAGCAGTAACAGAAACATCAAGGACAAAATCTTTAAACTCAATTGTTTTGCTACTGCCTGGAGGCGTAATGTTGCTACTGTATATTTATAGTACTGAAAAGTTGTGGGGTGGGGATTGTTCGCTGTTACATTTGTTATATACTGTATTGCTGTTGTTATGAAATTACTCCTGTAATTGTTGATTTTGTGTGTTCTAATTGTTTGCTGCTTTGACGATATGTTGTCTGTGGACAAGCAGCGTGCAAATAATGGGGTGGTGAGAATGGTGATAATATATACTGCTACGATTAGAGAGAGAAATCCAAACATGATATCAGACAGAATGAAGGGGATATAGGCAGATCTCCACCTGAGCTGAAGTTCCCCATTCTGGCTCAGCCAGAGAGACATCAGTGTAAATCCTCCATCTCAAAAATGGCTCAACTAAGGCTGAGGTAAGTCCGGACAAAGTGTTTGCTTTTTAAAAACAGTTTATAGGTTCTATTTACAAGTAGTATGCAAAGTGTGTTAAGTAAAATAACTATGGATTGTCTACTTTCCATTTAGCTCTTTCTCGCCTATCAAAGAACCTGTATGTTTTACTTCAGGATGAAGACACACCTGGTTAACAGTATTTCCAGAGATGAGGAATCAGCAATTGCTTATTTATTTATTTAGCCAGTGGAGGAAAGGGGATGCATGACAAGATAGCCCAGGCTTCACGTGCCTGCTGCCCTCCAGATGTTTTGAACTACAACTCCCATCAGCCCCATGATGGGAGGCTAACAAGCAGGATTCGAGGGGAAAGTACTCTCCCTCCTGTGGTTCCCAGCAACTGGTATTCAGAAGCATTGCTTCCTCCAACTGTGGCTGGCAGAGCATAGCCATCATGGCAAGCGGCCATCCATAGCTCTCTCCCCATTAATTTCTCTGCCATCACTGCCTCCTGTGGGAACAAGTTCCATAGTTCAAACTATGTGCTGTATGTAAAAATAGTACTTCCTCTTTCTGCGTTCTGAATCCTCCAAGAATTCACCATCATTGGATGTCCACAAGTACTAGCATTAGAGAGTGATCCCTATCCACTTTCTCCATGCATAATTTTATAAACTTCTGTCATGCCACCTCTTCTCTGAACTAAAAAGTCCTGAACGCTGCAAACTTTCTCTATAGGTGGAGTGACAAACGCATGCAAAACAAGCACTGTTAAAAGTCACAACAGCAGACATTGGTGACAACAGTAATCTTGAGAAGCCATGAGCTTCTCTCTTATTTTTGGCTGGGGTAACCCAGCCACATGGATGGGGAATATTATTATTATTAATAGTTACATGTGGGTAGCCGTGTTGGTCTGCCGTAGTCAAAACAAAATAAAAAAATTCCTTCCAGTAGCACCTTAGAGACCAACTAAGTTTGTAATTGGTATGAGCTTCTGTGTGCATGCACACTTCTTCTTCAGTGTGCTTCTGAAGAAGTGTGCATGCACACGAAAGCTCATACCAATACGTAACAAACTTAGTTGGTCTCTAAGGTGCTACTGGAAGGATTTTTTTTATTATTTTGTTTCAATAATAATAGCTGCTGCTGTGCTACCCTTCAGGCATGTATTGTCCCTCAAGGAAAGCCTTCTAATAAACCTTACTGTGACAATAGTCTGCTCTACCTCTCCTTTTTTTTGGTAAATGTTTTGTGCCACGGGGAAAGCGGTAACTCTGTACTGTTATGGTTATGGATGTTTGTATGTGATGCCAATAAAAGGTTTGATGATGATGATGAATGAAGCTTATGCGATCCTTCCATTCCGTCCCCGCTTCCTTAAGAACCCCGATCCTCCCCTTTGGCAGCTCTGCCTCCCCCCCACCCCGTTCATCAATTCTTCCTTCCTCTTTGGGAGCAACGACTGGAAGAGCGCGCCGGGGCAAAAGGCTTCGCCACAGGCACCGCGCATGCTCGACTCTTCTCCCACTTTCGCCAATGATGCGCCGCTTCTCTGACGCGGCGGCGGCGCGCGCTCTCCTCCGGGCCAGCTGGGGCCTCGCCGCGCGCTCCCGCGAGCACTGTTAGACGTGGCAGTTCACTGAGCGCTCCCGGGCGGGGAGAGCGAGCGAGCGGGAGAGGCGGGAGCCTGGAGCCGGCTGCCACGCTCTCCCTCCCTCTGACAAGCGCCTGCTGGACCCGCTTGGAACGGCGCGACCCGCGGAGCATCCGCGCGGCGAGAAGGGCGGACGGGAGCGCGGGAGACTGGCCAGGTGAGGGGGCCACCTGTGCCCAGGTGGGTGGGGGGGGGAGAAGAGGCGAGCGTCTCTGCGAGGGGGGGGCGGTCCTGGATGTTTTGCTCAGTGAGTGGAGCTCCTGTCCTCCAGGGAGCAGGAGGGAGGGGAGCATCCCAAAAGAAGGAGCAACACAACGGCTGGAAGGATCCCAGGATGAGCCGGCGAATTTTGTAGGTTTGGCATAGGGGGCCTATGGGGGGGGGAGAGGGGTGTCCCAGCACGAGAGGGGACTGGGGAGAGTTTATCCTTCTCCCACAGCAAGTTGGGGGTGGTCGCCAGACGCAGGATCTGAGCAGCACCAAGGAGGCACCTCCAGTCTTCTAGGGACTGGCAGTAGTCGATGTAAATTGCAGGAGTGTTCAGCTCTCCTTTGAGATTCGGGAAGGTTTTGGTTTAGGCATTTGCTGTATCGTTACAGACAGTTTTTCCGTAAATGTGCTTAACTTTTTTTTTTTTTTTTTTAGAAAGTTGCCTCCATTAGTGCTTAAAAATACACACACCAACACCTGTCTAACTAGCACCTAATATTGCAAGGCTTCCGTGGTTTTTCTAGAGTTGATTGTATAGGCGTTGAATTTTGACAGAATGCATCTGGGCTGTTTAGGTGGGCGCAGGATTTTCTGTGTGTGATGAGTCAAAAGTGTGATGTTGGCACCTTGGCATATTGGGAGAGTGTTCTTGCCATGCACATCAGGGTTGGGCAAATCAGCCTAATCACCATAAAAGTTGCATGCTTCTTCCCTTCCTTTTGATACTCTTGGGTTGCCCAGTGACACTCTTTATGATGGGTTGTGTAGTCTTTTTGTAAGCATCTTAAATACTGGGGGCGCTGGAAAGAGATTGCACAACTGCTTCACCTTCACCATGCACCAATCATTGTAGAATACAACACAACCACAAAACAGCTCACTTGTTGAGCATGGGAAACTGATGTTAATTTCAGAAACTGCCACTGCCCCCAACAATCTCCTTTTGATTTACTTCTAGTATAGCCTTTGGATTATTTCTTCTGGCATAAAAAGAAGAGGAGAATCATAGAGTTGGAAGGGACCACAAGGGTCATCTAGTCCAACCCCAGGCAATGCAAGAATCTTTTGCTCAACATGGGACTTGAACCCACAACCCTGAGATAAAGAGTCTGATGTTCTACCTACGGAGCTATCCCAAACAGTTGTAGCATTTATTATTTTTTATTATTCCTTATTACATTTATTTGCCACCTTAATTTTTCAAGGATCTCAAGGTGGTGTTCATGGTTCTCCTCCTTTCCATTTCATCCTCACAACAACCCTGTGAGGTAGGCTAGACTAAGAGATGGTGACTGGCCCAAGGTCACCCAGTGAGCTTCATGGCCGAGTAGTTTGTTGATTTAACCTGATTTAATCATTTTTGTTGATTTTTAGATCTTCCTTCCTCCTTGCTCACCATTCCAGCCTATACGACATGTGTGGTATGCTTATGAATGAAGGCTCTTCCTAGTGTTTTTGTGGAAAATCATGACATGGGTCAGACGTCACTGCTAAACCAAAGATCTGTCACCTGGGCCATGCCTTGGGCTCACAAAGCTCCACTCTATCCTTCACTTCCTGGTTTGCAATACTTATAGTTTGCTGTGATGTCTAAATCAGCCAAAGTAGTTACTGCAAGCTATAGTTTACCACAATACCAGAATTGCCACAAAACCATGGCTTGAACTGGGTTTCTAAAACAGTTTTGTGATCATCTGTTTTTGGCAGTAACCATATTTTGCTTGATTTGGATGTGGAAGAAAATGAGGAGTAGGGGAGGGAACTGGGGTGCACAAGGAGAGGAAGATGGAAGTATCCAAGCTCTATGTATGAGCCAGATCACAAGGTGATTTAGCTGTGATATCTAAACCTGGCCTAAGTGTGACTAGTTCTTTCTATGGTTTGCAGTCAATCACCTCTTTCAGCATGACTTTGGGAAGTCTACCTGAGTCCAATCATACGACTGCACTGGTAGGACTAGAATCCCTAATAACTTTAGACATATCCTGGAGGTAGATGAAATGGCAAAGAGTACTTTCGGTTGGCCCAGCAAATTACAGTATATAGGTGCAGAAAGGGTTTGTGACACATGTTTTTAGACACCTTGTAATAGGGAACTTCTGCCTCTTTGGGGAAGGGCAGTAACTCGATGGTGGAGCATCTGCTTTGCATGCAGAAGGTCGCAAGTTCAATCTCTGCCACCTCCAGTTAGGGTAGGGAATGTCCCCTGTCTGAAACACTTGGAGAGCCACTGCCAGTCAGTGTAGACATTACTAAGCCAATGGCCTACTCCACATAAGGCAGCTTCCTAGAGCCAGTGTGGTGTAGTGGTTAAGAGTGGTAGACTCGTAATCTGGTGAACTGGGTTCGCTTCCCCGCTCCTCCACATGCAGCTGCTGGGTGACCTTGGGCTGGTCACACTTCTCTGAAGTCTCTCAGCCTCACTCACCTCACAGAGTGTTTGTTGTCAGGGAGGAAGGGAAAGGAGAATGTTAGCTGCTTTGAGATTCCTTAGGGGAGTAATAAAGTGGGATAACAAAGCCAAACTCTTCTTCTTCCTAAGGTTCCTATCTCGAGTGGCCAAAACCCAATATTTGGTTTTAGTACTGTTTTGTGTGCCCTTTCTGATTATGAGGAATGGGTTAATTGTACTGAAATCTGATGTACTTTGCAAAATAGGGTTTTACTTGTACTTTGTATCATATTTGTTTTTGAGGAAAGGGTGTGGTTTATTAAACCACCTATGTTATCTGTAATGTGTTTGGAAGTGGATATAGGCCACTAAGTCAGCAGTACTATGTTTGTATTTCTAAGAGTTTAGAGTCTATTTAGTTGTGAATAGGAAGTCTGACGTGGCACACTGTCTTTCCCTCCTACTGAACTGTGCAGGAAGTTGTTTCCTTTAGATACTATCAAAGCTAAGAGCATTACCAAGTTCTACAACAATTGCCCTTAACTTCATTCTTTATATTGACAATGAAAATGTAGCGTAGGTGCTTTAATGCTGGCTGCTAACTAAACTTGCTGAAGTGACCAGGGCTTAGACTGCCACGTTTCAGTCTAACCAGAAGGAGGGAAAACACCTTGGCACTGGGAGAAACCTGATGTGCCTATGTGCTTTCTTTCCTATTTCGTTTTCTAAATCTTGTAGATTAAAAAGATTCCAAGAAAGGATTTGCAATTTTATATGTATGAAACTTGAGAGGCTTGGGAATTTTTTTAACTGGAATTTGTTCAGTTAATGGAAACATTCAGTGTAGACAAAACAAAACAAATATTTCAACCAGGGGGAAAGTAGTGTACATTGCAGACCAGACCTCCATGTTAGCATTCATAATCCATAATGATAACATTGATAAATTAACACTCCCGCCGTGTGTCCTATATTAATAATCAGTGAGCTATCGCCATTGAATTTGGTAAAGATTTGTTGATACCTTTCCTTATGCGCACCTGAAAGTTAGCAGCATAAGCATATATACACACACACTAACCACAGAAGAGTTTGTTTTTTAAAAAAGCAGAGCGGATATAAAGCATTTTTTAATCCGGTTTCACCCTAACACTTTGTACTAGTGGTGTTTCTGCATATATATAATATAGGTAATATTTCTTCCCAAAAAGTTGATATACTCTTTCAGCACATTGAATTATTACAAGCTGTGTGCACCCATGTTGATTTCACACACAGAGAGACACTCAATCCCGCCAAATGGGAATTGAATATGGTAGCTAGGCCTGCGTGATCTTTGCTACCTTAATTTTTATCTTGGCTAATGTACAGATTAGTTGGAAGTAGATAATGGCTGCAGTTATAGGGACTGAAAGTGGTAATTGCAACCCTGGTACAGTTTTTTCTAATGCCACGTCATCATACTTACTTTTTTATATGGAATTTCCCCTCTGTACTTCTAGTTTCGCTCTGAAGAGCTAAAACATAAGTAGGAGATGTTATTGGGCAGGTGATTTCTTTGGCTGCAGTTCTTCTGTACTTGAGTTAGCCTCATTGAAATCTGTGGGACTTGCTTCTGAGTAAACTTGCATAGGCTTGAACCATTAGGTCACATTTGTCATCATTACTGCCTTCTGTCACTGTAACCACCATTCAAAACAAAAAAAATTCCTTCCAGTAGCACCTTAAAGACCAACTAAGTTAGTTCTTGGTATGAGCTTTCGTGTGCATGCACACTTCTTCAGATACCTCATACTTCAGATGCATGCACACGAAAGCTCATACCAAGAACTAACTTAGTTGGTCTTTAAGGTGCTACTGGAAGGAATTTTTTTTGTTTTGACTATGGCAGACCAACACGGCTACCTATCTGTAACTGTAACCACCATTGTAATGTACTCTGTCATGTTTACTGAGTCACACAGCATGACCCCATCTGCATTCACTCAATATGCTGTATACACACCATACCTTTAAAGCACCTTCTTTCCCTCAAATAATTGTTTAGCATTGTTTGTTAAGGGTTGCCAGGAACTGTAGCTCTGTGAGGGATGAACTTCAGCGCCCAGAATCTTTTGAAGGAACGAATGTGCTTCAAATGTGCTTTAAAGGCATTGTGTACGCGGTCAAAAGTAAGCCTTGCCATGCTCAGTGGGGCTTAACTGAGAGCCAATGTGAGTAGTGGTTAGAGTGCTGGACTAGGACTTGGGAGACCAGGGTTCAAATCCTTACTCAGACATGAAACCCACTTGGTGAATTTGGGTCAGTCACACACTCTCAGCCTAGCCTACCTCACAGGGTTGTTGAGAAGACAAAATGGAGATGGGAAGTGTGTGTACGCAGCCTTGGGCTCGTGGGAGAAAAGGTGGGAAATAAATGCAATAAATAAAGTAAGGGGCAAACCATTGCAGCCCTCAAGAAGTTACCGCCTGAGTTACACAACTGGAAAAACATGTCTGGATTACATTTGCAGAACTATATAACTCCTGATATGGTTGGTTTTTTGTGTTTTGACTGGGAGTTGGAGACTAGTTTGTGGTATACTCAGTATACATAATAAGTATTGGCTGCCACAGTTCCCAGTTATGGGCCAGATCTCATGACTGTTGGTGTGTGGCTCTTGAACTCTGTCTTTGTGTGTGTGATGGTTACCTACCGATGACCACTTAGTTGTGTGAAGCAACTGCCATGGATGGGATCATGCCTTTTGCATCTTGTGGTGGCAACTGTTTGAAAAGACAGATTTTGCAGCAGTGTGCAAACAAAGGTGCCATAGGCAGGAAAAATGACCTGAGTGAGGAATATCAGGGCTACTGTGTCCTCAGTGACTATGGAAACTGGCCTCATTTTAGAGCAAATATTTAGAAAAATCAGTGAGCACTGCAGTGTGTGCCCATGCACATGTGTCGCAAATTCCAACAAAATGTAAGCAGGGCTGGACCCACTTCATAAAGTGCCCCTGGCAAGGTCAATCACTAGATTTTGTTTTCTGTTGTTCCCTGGTATAATACAGGTGACAAGGATAGCTTTTGGTTCAGAATGTGCAATGGAAAGACCAAAAAGTGCAAAGTAGGGGAAGCTTGGTGTGCCTACTGCGAGTAGAGGGTGGCCCATTAGTGTGGATGGGGCAATGCCCCACCAACCTGTCTTCTTACATACAACCAGTCATGGGGAGTCTCCACCTGTCATTGGTTTTGGCTCCATCATCTCTTAGGCTCTCTTGTCTTCTGCCCTTTCAGACCCAATGGGCACCATCCACCACTGCCTACTGGTATCTGCTTTCCTGTTTGCATTTTCCATGGAGCTGGAAAGGCAATGGCCCTTTCTACCCAGTGGTTGGATCTGTCTGCAAAGTCATCTGTATAATATTTTCAGGTGCTAAAGATAATATTATCATGTCAAAACCATATAGGTTGTCAAAATGTTTGGAATCATCTGTAGTGATACCTATTTTTTCTGGCAAATCAGGAAATTGGGCTGCCCTACCAGACAACCCGTAGGGACGCGGGTGACGCTGTAGGTAAAAGCCTCAGTGCCTAGGGCTTGCTGATCGAAAGGTCGGCGGTTCAAATCCCCGCGGCGGGGTGCGCTCCCGTTGCTCGGTCCCAGCGCCTGCCAACCTAGCAGTTCGAAAGCACCCCCAGGTGCAAGTAGATAAATAGGGACCGCTTTCTAGCGGGAAGGTAAACGGCATTTCCGTGTGCTGCGCTGGCTCGCCAGATGCAGCTTTGTCACGCTGGCCACGTGACCCGGAAGTGTCTCCGGACAGCGCTGGCCCCCGGCCTCTTAAGTGAGATGGGAGCACAACCCCAGAGTCTGTCAAGACTGGCCCGTACGGGCAGGGGTACCTTTACCTTTACCAGACAACCACTGGTCGCAAAACCTGGTTGTTTTCGCAACAAGTAACAGTGGTTCAATCTGTGATTAATGTTATCCACATATTCTAGCTGATTTATTTTTTTTAAGTGTTTGTATCAGTGCCTTTGCTACAAGAGAACATCTGTGCATTTTGTCCATAATCTGGTAGCCATTATGCAAGAGAGCTAATAAGTAGGATGCTGTCCTCTTGCCTTGTAACATTGCTTTTGGGTCATAAAGCTCATTCTGTGCTTTACCTGCACTATGTATCAGTGAAGTATTGCTGATTTTATTACTTGACTTCTTCTAATTTTTATGACAGGTTTTCCATCAGAAATAAATCACTGCTAAAATGAATCAGCAAGGATATGTTGCAACACCTCCATATTCTCAGCCCCAGCCAGGAATGGGGGGATTCTCTGCTGGTTTGGGGCAACCTGCTTCTTCACATATGTATGGACACTATGGTGATGTAAACTCATCTTCTGCATCTCAGTCAGGTAAAGTAACATTGGCCATATAGAGGTTGATGTCTCCACTATACTAGTGCATGTCATTATCCATATTATTACATTACTGTTCAGTGGTACCTTGGTTGTTGAACTTAATCCATTCCAGGAGTCCGTTCGACTTCTGGAACAATTTGAAAACCAAGGTGCAGCTTCCGATTGGCTGCAGGAGCTTCCTGCACTCAATCGGAAGCTGCGGAAGTCGCGTCAGACATTCAGCTTCCGAAAAACATTCACAAACTGGAACGCTCACTTTCAGGTTTGCGGCGTTCGGGAGCTGATTTGTTTGGGAGCCAAGCCATTCAACAACCAAGGTACCGCTGTACTTGTTTATATTTATTTTGCACTATTAGTGAAAAGAAAAGCTCCTGGTTTAATCGAATATTACAATGGGAAGACCATAAGCAAGGAAAGATGCTTGGTCTTGCTATTATGTAAACTGTGCATATTCATATAGAATTTAAATACTAGAGCATAATATAACTTCCTGGGCAGTTTAGACTTCCTTTTTTTGAGGTCCATAAAAAAAAATTTCATACTTATTTTGCTTTAACTGTTGGCAATGTGTACCTCATTTATGCAGTGATTTTCTATTGTTATCCACTATGTTTATGCCTGTGTTTTACTTTAGCTATGTTGAAACCTAATGTGCCTTTCGGGTCTGCTGCTCCCATTGGTTCACCATCTCCTAGTGCTCACCAGTTTAACCAAACCAATATCCAGAATGGGCCCAGCGCTACAGCACAACAATCACAGAGGTGATTTTTATTTTTTTAAAACAAAACAATAAATGTATTTATGCTTAGAATTTCTGTTTATCTGCTCAAATATTTACTACACATACCATTGAAAGCAGTTTTAAACTTGTCCACAGCTTTTTTGTTATAGCACTAATCCATACCAAAAATGAGTAAAATAATATTCTGGGTCCATTAGCAGAACTCAGGTAGTGGCTAGCACTTATCTCAATTATTTCTTCCCATCAAATACAGTATATGGTGTGTACAGAATAGTCTCTTATTCTATTTGGGCATCTTACGCCTGTAAGATGTGTGGAGAGAGCAATTAGACAGCTCTAGCTCCAGCTTTCATCTTCATTCTGATTGCTTTCTATGAGTTGGAGAGATAACGTCTGCATTGGGGAATCTTTCCTATTCACATAGGTTCCCTGTACCATGTAGGTTTTGACATTGCATGTGGAATGTGCATGAGTAGAAAAGGCTCCCATTGCAGAAGCTGTTCCTCCAACAGATGGATGATAATGGTTATCGGTGATGTGGCAGTGGAGCTGCATCATTGCTCTCCCTCTTCACATGTTGATGAAACACAGAAGTAGGATGCTTGCACAGGGCTAGACTATAACCATATCCTACATTACCAGACATATGCTGAAGGGGCACATGGCAAGCCAAAGCCAGTTTGGTGTAGTGGTTAGTATCAGACTAGGATTAGGATCTGGGGTACCAGGGTTCAAATCCACACTCAGCCATGGAGCTCACTGGGTGACCCTGGGCCAGTCACTGCCTTTCAGCCTAACCTATCTCACAGGTTCTAGTTACAGGTAGGTAGCCGTGTTGGTCTGGAAAAGACCCTGATGATGATGGGAAAGATTGGGGGCACAAGGAAAAGGGACGACAGAGGATGAGATGATTGGATAGTGTTCTCGAAGCTACAAACATGAGTCTGACCAAACTGCGGGAGGCAGTGGAAGACAGGAGTTCCTGGCATGCTCTGGTCCATGGGGTCATGAAGAGTCGGACACGACTAAACAACTAAACAACAACAACAAAGCCGTGTTGGTCTGCTGTAGTTGAAACAAAATAAAAAAATTCCTTCCAGTAGCACCTTAGAGACCGACTAAGTTTGTTATTGGTTTGAGCTTTCGTGTGCATGCATGGTATCTGAAGAAGTATTTGACAGGGACGCGGGTGGCGCTGTGGGTAAAAGCCTCAGCGCCTAGGGCTTGCCGATCGAAAGGTCAGCGGTTCGAATCCCCGCGGCGGGGTGCGCTCCCGCTGCTCGGTCCCAGCGCCTGCTAACCTAGCAGTTCGAAAGCACCCCCGGGTGCAAGTAGATAAATAGGGACCGCTTTATAGCGGGAAGGTAAACGGCATTTCCGTGTGTGGCTCTGGCTTGCCAGAGCAGCGATGTCACGCTGGCCACGTGACCCGGAAGTGTCTCTGGACAGCGCTGGCCCCCGGCCTCTTGAGTGAGATGGGCGCACAACCCTAGAGTCTGTCAAGACTGGCCCGTACGGGCAGGGGTACCTTTACCTTTACCTATTGCCAGTTTGGTTTGTGCTGTTGATGAGGCCGCAGTCCTTTGCACTCAAATCCTAACTTCATTACTGTGCATCCTGTAGAGTCCTCTCATTCCTTAAACATTTGTGTAGGTGACATACTCTATGGATAGAACTTAGTGCTTCCTTTCAAACAAATAAAGCACCACTTTTAAGTGCTGTTCACTGGAATGCTTATTAAGAAACGTCTGTATAAATCAGATTAATCAAGGGGGAAAGCCCGACTCTTTCTTCCTGGATCAAGCAATTATTTAGATTAGAGTCCAGAGCCTAATTTGATCCATATGTTTAGTGCAGTTACAATATGGAGTGTATTCTATGGGCAGAGAATAGCCTTTGACCTCCATTCCTGATTTTAAAAGATCAAAGCAGAAGGTCCATGAGCCATAAGATGAGGTTTAGTCCTATTTCAGTTCTCTTTGTTTCTTCTGTCCCACCATTTGAATGTGCCGGGCAAAAATTAGTAATGCTACATTTTATCAAAATCACAGGTTATTAATGCATGCCCTAGTGCAGGGGTCTGCAACCCGCGGCTCCGGAGCCACATGTGGCTCATTTACACCTTTGCCGCGGCTCCGGGGTGGATACTAGCGAGGGGAGGAGGCACATTGTGTGCCCCGACACTCCCCACTGTGGCGGGCGCTGTACTGGCTGTGACATCACATGGGGGCGGTGCGTGCGTTAGTCATGCACCGTCCCAACGTCACCTTCCCGCCCGCTGTCAGATCGCGGCTCCGGAGATATATTTGTTTTAAATGTCACAATGGTTTTGCGGCTCCCAGTTTTTTTTTCTTTGGAAACGGGTCCAAGTGGCTCTTTTTGTCTTAAAGGTTGCAGACCCCTGCCCTAGTGCTTAGGTTTGTCTGCATGTTAATCATTTTTGAGTTGGCATTGTTTTCTATCTCTGAACAAATTCAAACGTGTGTGTGTGTGTGTGTGTGTGTAAGTGTGTGTGTGTGTGTAAGGTGACTGAATAACAATAATAAAAATAATTACAAATGAAAATAAACCATAATTAATTATGTATTTTGTCTGGTCTGGAAAACACAAAACTGGATAGTGAAGGAGTGAAGTAAACATTTCTGAACTCCTTGTGGCTGCTCTGGAGAAGTACAGAAGAGGGAAAGGAGGCGTATCCTGTGATCCTGAGGCTTGCCAGGGTTTTCTTCCATAGGTTTACAAACCATGTTGCTTAGACTTTGAAATCTAGGAGTTGTTTGTGGAGTGGATATTACATTGTTACCTGTTTGGTGTTTCTTTGGTAACACTTCTTTTTCTCTTCAGGTTTCCACCTTCTGCACCTTCCTTCCCCCCGTACAGCCATCCATCCCCGTCCTCCTATCCAAACAGTCCGCCCCCTTCTTCTGCACAGCTGGCCAATCAGCTTGGCAACATGCAAATAAATAATTATGGTAAGGACTACATAGTCTTCCATAAAAGCTTCTGAGAGATCACATGCATTTTTTATTTTAGCTTGGGTTGGTTCCAGAGAAAACAAATGCTCACAAGTTCAATAGGTCTAAATCTACTGGAAGATTTTGATAAGAAAGATTGACTTCTAATGGGACTGTTCTAAATCTTGTTGGAGTTCTCCAGGTTTTAGCACGTTAATCATATTACTGGGATATAAAAGGATCATGGCCTTGAACATCATGTTTATGCTTTTAAACTGGCAGCTCTTTAAAAAATGTATTTTTAAAAAAAGCTTTGTAGACTGGCTGTTTTACTAAAATAATAATAATTGGAGAGTTCAGCATTTGTAAACATACAGCATTTCTGTATCTTTCAGCTGGAAAACATGTTTCTTTTTTCAAGTGTATTTTCCAACATGATCTCTTGGAAGAGGGATAGGGATCTTTTCCTGGCTAGTGGCCAGATCCTTATTTCCCCCCTCACCTGTCAGTCATTTGATGTCAGGTGATGTTGCACTTTGAAGCCCTGACTGTTGAGTCTTCAAAATGCAGCACAAAGCAATAGGCACTTTCAAACAACCCTGCACTGCCCTTTGTCCCCAGCAAGGGAACATGTGTGCATGGCCAAATCGAGCAGGAAGCGAACTGCCACACACAGGAAAACTTAGGAGGATATCGGCTGATGAGTGGTGGTTAAATCCTGCATAGACTAGTTCCCAGCAGGGGAGCTGCCATACTCATATCCCGCCCTACCGATCAGCTGACATCGCCCCACATAGAAATGATGTGAATTGATTTGCAGGTGGGTGTGGTTTTTAAATAATGACCTCATGGGCCAAATTTGATGCCTTGGCAGGTCAAAGATTCACATAAACACACCCCAGTCCAGAGGTTCCCCTGAATATTATACAAGCCACAGTGCACTCATGGGTCAGGCTTTTCTATTTATTTCCACAAAGAGCATAATTCAACTCATGTATTTATATTTGCTCTCTTTTTTGAATGGGATGGAAAAACCTTTGATATTAGGGAGCTCCTGGTGGTTCTTGTATATTCAAAGGAATCATAGGCTCCAGCATGAGTGCATATATAATTCACCTTTCACACAACTATTTTTAAAAGAAATTATCTAGCAAAAATTATATACTACTTGATTGTGAGAAAACCTGTCAAGCAGTTTACAAAAAGATAAAAGGAAGCAGTAAAATTCTCAATAAAACCAACTATTTAAAAGCATTCCAAAATTATTAAAATCAACAGTAGCCAAAAAGAGCTACAGGTAATTGTTACATGATGGGATAGGTTTGCCTAAGCAAAAATGTTTTAACCAAGCACCAAAAATAATACAGCAAGGGTGCCTGTCTGATGTCAATAGGTACTGCAACGCTAAAATATGGATTTCTTACAATATGTATTACAATGTTTATTGCGTGGCACCCATAACAGTGCCAGTTCCACAGATTGAAGTGTTCAGGTGGACATATATAGGATATATATATATATATATATATATATATATATATATATGGACATATATAGGATCTAGCAAATAAAATGGTCCCAATAATAAACTGTTCCTGTTTTAAAGGAGGGGAGGAGAAACTCCTCCTTAAACTATTTTAACAAAATGCCAAACAGTTTACAATATACTTTGTACTGGCAGTAAAATAGATGCTTGATACATTTGCAGCCTTCACAATCCATTGTTCTCATAAGATTTAAGCACCCAAATGAAGACTTGTTTTTAGTATAGAACAGATTCAGTTGTGAAAGTATTAACAGTGAACATTTAAAGTTAATATTTATAATATTTAAAGTTATTTCTATAATTATGTTGCAATGTTAAGATTTTAGAGAAGAGCAATCGGTTTGATATGAATATCATTTATATTATTTAATTCCATTTAAAATGAATGTAAAGATCTACAACAGCAGGTGTCTTAAGACATACCTGTATTCCACTGTAATTATTATTCTAAAGGGTTTTTCAAATGAATGCATAATGGTGATACTCTTGTTCAGGTCCTGGTAACGCCCCAAACACACCTCCTTGCATGTCTTCTGGCCTCCCACCACCTTTGCAAGCTCCACCACCTCGACCACATCAAATGGCCTTGTCGTCTGGTCCTCAGATTTCTTCACCAGCAAGTAATTTGACCAGTCACTGCGCTCCACCTTCAATGGCCAGACAGGAGGGGATCCCTGGCTCAAACCCACCGAACACCAATTTGCCACCACAACTCACAAGCCAGCCCACAGGCCCTGGGTTTCCTCCCCAGTATGGTAAGTGCAGCTACCTAGTTTACATAAGACGGCCAGGTTGCAACATCTGCTTTGAATCCAGAGGGATGGGAGTGGAGAGAGAAGGAACTAGAAGCATGATTTGCCACTATTTTCAGGTGGGATTCAATTGCATACTGGCAAATTCAGGTTGCACGGTTGGAGTTCTTGTGCAAAAAACCCAATTCCTCAGAAGATCAGACTTTTGCAAGAAGGAAAGAGATGGGGCAATACAATGGAAAGTGTGGGACTGTGCTTGCTTTGATGTAATGTCGTCTAACCTCCTTGCAAACAAATCAGAACAAATGCTCAGCAATCAGGGTATCTGGAAGTGCCCAAAGTGTTGCTTCAGTTGGATTAGGAACTGAAGAAAGGATGAGCGGTGAGCACCCTGGAAGTGTCCTAAGTGCAGTTTTCCTGCACTTCAACATTAAATTCAACATTAACTTCACCTTCTGATGGCAGCTTTTTTGACCACACGTGTCTGTGGAGCAAATTGGAGAGGGACATTTTTGAGAGGAAAATTGCAAGCAGGAACGCACTTAAGTAGTCCCTTTCCTCTCTGTTCTTTCTCCACTCCTAATTCTATTCTTCAGTGATGGCTTTTTTTCCTTTCCTTTTAAGATAGAAAAGGTAGGGTCAAATTTCATGGAACTGTGTGTAACATGTAGGTTGCCCCTGTGGCTTGTGAGGTTGCTATGGCCGTGTTCTACCTTGAACCACTTTGGAACATTGCAGGAATCCTAGACCAAAATCGCTTGCCAAGTTTTCAAAGCTCTGTGTGTATTGCTAGTTCTATTTTTGATCTTTGTGCAAGAACAAGACATCCCTGTATAGGGAGATTTTTCTCTGCCACGTAAATGTGTCCTTGATTAATAACAAACACCTGTTTGTTCTTTTGTGTCTTGCGGCTTATTCCAATAGTTAACCAGGGCAGGTTTGAAGAAGAAGCTAAAAGCTGATAGCACACAACTGCTTGGGCAGAAATAGCAAATGAATTCAATACGAACATATGAACCTTTTTTCTTTCTTCCTTTAGAACATAATTCCTAGAAAGAAACAGGAAGAAGTGTGAAGAGAATGCTAGGCTCTGACCAGCCGAAATGCTCCTGCATGGGGCATAATACTGCCCAAGGCTAATAGGCTGCATATGTTATACTAAATAGTACACACGAAGAATCCAGCATCCACAATATCAAAATAGCAATGAGAGCCATTGTAGTGGCTGAGTGTCAGACTGAGACTAAGGTGACCTCAAGTTCAAATCCCTGTTCAGCTATAATTTTGCAGCCAAACCCTACCTCAGAGGGTTATTGTGAAGATGTATTGGGTGGTGGTGAACCATGTGGGCACCTTGAGTTCTTTGGAGGAATGATAATATGAAAATGTAATACAGCACAATAGGGTTGTGTATTTATAGGTTGGAATTAAGTTTGCCCTTAAAAAAAATCCAGCGCAGCATGTCCAGTTTGACATCCAACTGTACAGTGGTACCTTGGGTTACAGACGCTTCAGGTTACATACGCTTCAGGTTACAGACTCTGCTAACCCAGAAATAGTACCTCAGGTTAAGAACTTTGCTTCAGGATGAGAACAGAAGTCGTGCTCCGACGGCGTATCGGCAGCAGGAGGCCCCATTAGCTAAAGTGGTGCTTCAGGTTAAGAACAGTTTCAGGTTAAGAACGAATTAAGTACTTAACCCGAGGTACCACTGTAATCTCACTGCTGCAACAACAATTGCCTGTGAGCTTAAACAAGGTCTGTTAGCTAGTATTCTCAACACAGCAATGGTGGAAAGTGTTTGATCTGAAAGTCAAAGCAGCGTCTCCTCTCTCTTTTACATCTGGCCCACTGAAACTCTCCTGCTGGACCCCTGTTCATATGTGTACTCCATTTATATAAAGAAGACAATGCACAGGCCTTGGTTGGAGTAGAAATTTCAAACTGGCAGTGTGGAACTAGCCAGTAAAAGACTCCTTCAATAAAAAGAACTTGGACAAGTATCACTTAGGAAGCAAGACTTCTGACAGGATATATTAAACAACACCCCCCCCAAAAAACTTTAATTTGGCTGATTGTTTTATTTTATTTTATTACTTTTCCAGGAAATTATGGTCCTCCAATGGCAGGTGCACAGTTGTCTTATCCAGGGGGGCTCCAATCAGGTCCAGCACAATTGGCTGGACCACAGCAGAAGAAACTAGATCCTGATTCCATTCCAAGCCCGGTGAGTAAGAGTTTCTTGTAGGAAATGTGGCTAAAACAACAGCATGAGAGGGGAAATGGGGAGTTTTCAAGCAATTCCACATTATAGTAAGGCATAACAGAATATTGGGTGGTATCCAATGAATTGCTTCTGCTAGCTCTAGGACTTTGGGCTGTGAAATGAAGTTCCCCTCCCCCTCCTCTGCCCATGCGCCCTTGAAATTGGTTCTGGGATTCCTACAACCTTCTGGAGTTTGAGGGGAGTGGGCGTGGGCAGAGGGAGAGAAGAGGGAAGAGAAGTTCTATTGCACAAGCATCCTTCCAACAAAATGGAAGCATTTTGTTGGATACTTTCCACTGTGGTTAATCTAGCGCTTAAAGATGTAACTTTGAAATGTGAAGCTTTTCGTGGCTCAGCCAGTTCCTCAGGCTAAGGTTCAAGTTCAAGTTGTATGTTTTTCAAGGGATTTTAGCAGTATAAAGCAACCAAATTTATATTTTACCTCTGTAAATGAAAAGGGCTCAGTAAAAACCCAGAAATGTAGGTTCCTCCAAAGAACAATGAAGTCTTTAGACACTTTAACAAATAACAAGATTGTTGCAGATCAAAGTCTGTTTCAGAAAGGATCCACGTGATCATTTCTAATTGAGACAGTTTATAATCTACAATCTGGTGCATATCCCCCACCCCATTTTTTAATTTGCAGACAGTGTGATGAAATGATGAAATAGTGTAATTGAGACCATAGCACAATTTCTCAAATAGGAAAACAAAACAATAGTTATTTTAGTTTTACCCATTCAGTTTCCTCCTGGAGAAATTCTGAGGCACTCCTCTGGAATGCAGCTAAATCCTTTCACTCCAAGTTTTGATCCAGAAATCATTCCAGAAGAACCAAACTGCAAAATCTGAGGCAGAATCCAGTTAAGGCACATTCTGTTACCATTCCGAACAAATTTAATTGTGTATAGTTTTTCACAGTTTTGGTCCACGCACAGAGTTCCGGTTCATCCTCAAATCTCTTGAGAAGTGTGGAGCTCTGAGCAAAGCACCTCCAAGATATTTAAGTAGACAGGGGTGTGGCTCCTGGGATTCCTATCTCTCATATCAGAAGCAGGGAACTGCTTACCCTCCAGATGTTCCTGAACTACATCTATCAATCTTAGCAAGCATGACCAATAGCCAGAGATTATGGGAGTTAGTTCAGCAGCACCTGGAGGTCCAAAGGTTCCTCATCTATGTCCATAAATGCTGGACATAGACATTGTCCTGTATACACAGAAGCCCTTATTCTTGAACCACTATAAAGCTCACATTTCTTACAATTTTTAACATTTTATCCATAAGATCCAGGTTATCGAAAATGACAAAGTGTCCAGGGGAGGTCAAATCTATGCTACCAACATTAGGGGTCAAGTCCCTCCTCTAGTTACTACAGATTGTGTGATCCAAGATCAAGGTAAATAGGAAACCATCTTTGGCTTCATTTCCTATGTGAAGTTGAATTTCCTCTCTCCCTCTCCCTCTCCTTCTCTTCTCTTTCTCTTTTGACAGGAATGTTCATGTTTAATTTCTATGATGCCTTTCTAAATTGGCCAGGAAGATATTTTGGCGGGTTGCCTCTGTTTGTCAAGTGGACAGGGCAACAATACATAGAAATGGGTTCTTGGTGAATGGTCACAATGGTGGAATTCATTTTCCTTGACAAGGCTGACTTTAAGCATCGTCTGACTACAGACAGCCCCCCACTTATGTGAAGGTTACGTTCCAGGCCCCTCTATGCATAAGTAACATATTGTAAAGTGGGGAGCACCCCACTTTAATACAAGGGGTATGTGGGAAGGAAAGAGAGAGTGGGGGGCTCACCCTGGAAATCACTTGGGGCCACTGCCTGGCCTATTTTGAGCCTGCCTGCCTGCCTGCCGCAAATACATGGCTGAAGTGGCTGGCCACAGAGGGCAAGGAGTGAGAAGGGTGCCCAGCAATACTGGCATCAGGATGGAGGTGAAAAGATGTAGTGGAGGGGGGAGAAGATGCCTCCTGCCCCATGCCACTGGTTGATTGAAGGCTGCACTCCCTTGTTTGGGTAGCAGCCCCGAGCAAGGGGAGGCCAATCTATTTATGTATTTAATACGTATAAAGGCAGTCATGCATGAGTGGGATGCACATAAGGAGGGGTGCTATATAAGCCTTTTTGCTTGAAATTACTTTTAGTCACTGGGTTTGTCTTGGTTCTTTGTTTAGGATTGACTGGGATTTTAAAATATTACTGGAATTTGATGATATTGTTGTGTTTACTGTTTGATCATTAAACTGACAATGCTTTGAGTTGTTAAATTGTAACCAATCCTGATTTTCTTTCTCATAGAACGTAATAAAAATCAAAAGGTTTATAAGAAATTACTAAGGAGTTCAGTGGAAGGAGCAAGATGTTGTATTTAAGTAGTGCTAAGCCTAAATCTCTATATTTATTGTGAGATGTGAAGTTCTGAAGGTTATTGATGGAATACTGTGGTGCAAACTTGCCAGTAGCCGTGACTGCACACATCTTTTGATCCACAAGTTTTCCAGAGAGAGCAGCATGCATTGCCCCCTCTCTGATTTGGCTTCCTGACAACACAAAGTGATGACGTGGCTTTGGCATGAAGCCAAGGCCAAGTGACCATAATGCTTCCTGCTCTCACTCTGGAAACTTGTGGATTTAAAACATCAGCCAGAGAGCATGGAGTGCAGTTATTACAGCTCAGACCACAAAACAAGTGGCATTGGTGGAAAAAGTTGAGGAAGCAGTTTTGAGAAACTTTCCCACCCTGCAACCTCTCCTTTTCCTGCTCAAAAATGTTATGCGATGAACTTCTGTCTCATTATAAGAATTATAAGTTGCTTTTAATTAGCCCTAAACATGCTTATTTTTATTTTTTTAACTTCATCAAATATTGCCATTGTTTTGAATGTCCTAGGTAATGCCAGCCCTCGCTTCATTCGATGTACCACATACTGCTTTCCTTCATCTTCAGATCTGGCGAAACAGGCTCAAATTCCGTTAGCTGCTATCATCAAACCGTTTGCCAATGTTCCATCAAATGAGGTAAAAGAATAAAACTGAAGCTCTGAGAGGAAATGTTTTTGTTCACAAGTTAAGGTTTTCAGTGGCTTTGAATTCAGCTGGGATTGACCCTTGGTCTGGGGGAATGATCATCCTTTGACAAGAAAGAACAATCTGTGTGGAGAAAGTATCTATGAAACTGGGCCTCTTGTTTTACAAATTTTAAGTTCATGGTATCATCAAGGAGGATCTGTTGAATTCTCGTAACCTATTATCACGATAAATGTATTGAGATGCAATTGTCAAGGAGAGCCATCTTTGAACTTTAACATGCAGGCACATAGTGTTCAGGGTCTTATTTATTTATACTTATTCAAAGATATAAAAAAATGCATACCCATTACAATGTATCTTTTTATGATATACTAAGATGAAACAACTACTTAGTCTATAAGAGAACAAAGTCAGAAGGAAGAAGAGGAAAATAGAAAACTAAAGAAAGATTCTATGGCCTTAAGGTTTAGATATAATAGGGAGAATACTTTCTAATTGCATGAACGAAGCTACATGGACAGTTTTATCCTGACTTGTTCTTGCTAAACCATAGTTTTTATCTCTAACCACTGGTCATGTTGACTGTAGCTTATGATGGTTGTAGTCCAACAACATCTGGAGGGCACCATGTTGGGGAAACCTGATTTAAATATAAACCTCAGTTTCCTAAGTTTGGACTTCTGACGAAATTATGGTTTCCTGCTATGTGAATGAGCCTTGGGTTCCCTCCTTTTCTCATTTACAAACCACAAGAGAAGATTAAAAGCATCTACTTCTGTTCTTTAACCTGAGGGGTTTGGCAAGTGTGAAGAACTGTTTCAGATGCTATCAGTTTTCTATATAGTCCATATACATGAATTTTCCACATGTGAACCATTAAGAGACTTTGATCTGTAATTCCTTGGCTCTTCACACACAAATTTTAAAAGTTTTTTTTTTTATGGAATGATGTATTGATGAATGTTTAGATACAGACGTCCACACAGAACACTTGTGGATGCAGGCTGTTCTGTTCATTTCAAATAAAGTGATTTGGGGTTCAACTGAAATAAACATTACAGCTCTCCATGTTTATCAGAACTCCATACAAAAAACAACAGCATTGGATTGTGGCAACCATCTTATGGATCCAATTTTGGGTGTACAAGGATGTGTTGGGTGTGAAGAATTCTTTGAAGAAATAATTTCTACTCAAACACTTATAACTATATTGCTGTCTGTAGTTCTGTATTTCAGAACCTTGCCTATACAGATTCCTTCTATATTCATCAACAGAATTTCTTTTCGTTTTCCTCGCTCCAAAAGGGATGACCTATCAGGGGTATTTATAGGGTATTTCTTTGAGAATACGATATCATTGTTTGACAGAATATATTTTTAGCCGACCACTGCTTTAGCAACAGACTATAAAAATAAAAGCCAGCAGCTATCATGCTAGGCCAGGCGTTCTGCAAGTTTGTTTTGGAGATGTATGACTATTTGCCAAGCCTGGATAAACCAGATGATCTTTGTTTAACATTTTATGTTACTTGCCACTAATATTATCTTGGCTAGAGGTAACATTCTACAAATTCAAAAATCTTATTCCAATTCCAGATGATATATGTATGTTTGTTTAAAATGTCTAAAAAGAGCTTGGATTGCTAGCAAATGATTCCCTCCCCCCCCTTGTGATCTTATTACAATTGGTAAAATGTACTTTGGCAGGAGAGACTGGTAAGTTGAAAGTTAAGTGGATATTGTTATTGGTTTTCATGTTTATTATGTGTACTACCTGGGACATTTAGGGTGTGGATTACATATAAGTAACATAAATATATTCCTATAGATTAGATTTCATTATTTGTGTAAGATTTCTCTAACAGAGGATGAAATTTCAAAAGGAGGAAGTAAATAGAATAAGAGAAGGTCTTGGAACTTAAGTGATTCATAGTGTAAATTGTCATAACCCCCAGTACCTGTTACATACTGCAGGTTTCACTAACATACCGTCTTTTTTGCACCATAACACTCACTTTTTTCCTCCTAGAAAGTAAGGGGAAATGTCTGTGCGTGTTATGGAGGAAATGCCTACGGGTGGCATGCCTACGGATTTTCCTCCTCTAAAAACTACATGCGTGTTATGGTCGGGTGCGTGTTATAGAGTGAAAAATACGGTAACACCAGAGTTTGAAGAGACATAGCGTTCTGTAGCTGAGGCTGGTCTGACCAGTGCAGTGATCTTTGAAGGCACCCCATTTCGTAGGCTTTTCCATTCCTATTCTGACCTTTACTCCCATACCTATTAGCATTTAGTAGTCCAGACCTTTCAGATTACTGATGGCAGAGAATCAAGACTCTTGGCTGTAGTTTGTCTGTTTTTCAGACACTGTATTTTCATAGGTTTCTTTGAAAACATGGGGGATTGCCTATCTGAGTTTTCCAAAGAGGACCCCTTTTTGCTCTCTTTTGATAATGGAGAAATCATTTTGTGTGATTGCAGAATCAGAACTAAAAAGAAAGCTGCTGCCATCTTTTATTTTTTTTATTTCCAAGTTCATCTAGAAATTGCTTGATAGAGGCAGAATGTGAGTGGCATGGAATTGCACCAAATATGGTTTTCTTTTGCAATGGGTCACAGAAATATGTCTATGCTTTGGATGTACTTTGAGAGGTAAGAATCTAGACTCAACCTGCACAAGTTTAACTCCTAGATGTAGACTCCAGTTAAAAGTTTCATCGAATATGTGGACCAGGATGAGTCAGGATGTGGTGGAGGAAGCAGTTGCTGCCATTATTATTATTATTATTATTATTATTATTATTATTATTATGCAGGTGGCGCTGTGGTCTAAACCACTGAGCCTAGGGCTTGCTGATCGGCAGGTTGGCGGTTCGAATCCCCATGACGGGGTGAGCTCCCGTTGCTCTGTCCCTGCTCCTGCCAACCTAGCAGTTCGGAAGCACGTCAAAGTGCAAGTAGATAAATAGGTACCTCTCCATCGGGAAGGTAAATGGCGTTTCCATGCGCTGCTCTGGTTCGCCAGAAGCGGCTTAGTCATGCTGGCCACCTGACCCGGAAAAGCTGTCTGTGGACAAACATCGTCTCCCTCGTTGTGTGTACAGACCTTCACTCGATGGTCTTTGCTCATATATAGAGCTGCTAAACTTGCAACAGGAAGGAAATTTTGTGGTGGAAAGTTGATCATATTAGCGACAAACCTCGGTGTTTATTTTATGGTGGTTGTTCTTTTTCATTTTCGTGTGCCAGGACTTTCTACAGTGCACCTGCTCTCTGTTTCTAATGCACTGTGGCTCATCTGAATTGCCTAGGTCGATTGATGGTTGGAACGCCTTGCATCAGAGTACTGAACTAAATAGCACTTTGGAGACCCTGGTTCTCTTTGAGCTGGTCAAGATCTTGTTTCATGTCTGAATCTAAAGAAAGTAAAAGCATGCAGGCCAGGTTTTAGCCCTCTTTGGGTAAAATGAGCAGGTAAGGGCTTTACCATTGGGCAGAATGAGCTAGTCGTATTAGGCAGTGGATGCTGGGGGCACATAGTGGCAGTGTGGTGTTGGACAACAGAACTGTCCGCTGTGCAACCTGCTCTACATTCCCTAACCTAGCCACCGCTGCTCCACCCTATCCTGGTAAGTTGCAAACACCACCAGTGATAGGAAGACAGCTCTGCCCCACCACTGGCTGCATCAAATGTGTATGCAGTATTTCAATTCAGCTGTACAGTTCTATTAAAGGACTCATTGAATGGCCATGTGTCAACGTGTCACCCTTCAAAACTAACCTAAAGGTAGCAATTGCAATTCTGCACCCAGGGATAGTTAGTTGGCAAAAGGTCTTGCTTCCCACTCAGCAAGAACTGTGCTTTTCATTTGTTTGTTTTTTGCTCCGGCAATGTGGTGTTTTTTTTTGTCCTTTATTTTAGTGGGCTCGTCTGCACCTCCATTTGCCCTACCTCTTTTCCCCAGGAAAACCCGCAGTTTGCATCTGGATTGGAACATACGGCAGTCAGGTTTTCTGAGGATTGCTATTTGTTCCAATTCAGTGGTAAACAGCATATTTTCCAGGGGAAAGCTGTGTGGCTAACACAAAACATCTTGGACCTGTGCCTAGGAAGCAAGAGACAAGCAGAAAAGCACTTAGATCCGTGCTTTCTAGGCAAAGGACAAGGAGACGTATGGACGAGTCCATATTCTGAAATGGAAACTGTGTTCCGCTCTTTTGCTGCCAAAATGGATCATAAGAGCAGTCATAAATTAAAGAGTGTAAACCCTGCTCCAAGCCTTGAGGGACCTTGCACATTTTATAAAGCTGAATCGGAGGAAGATTTAAGGCACTGGTTTTCAAGGAGTCATACAAAGTTTTATGGGGTTTACATGTGCAAAGGAAATATCTCCTTAACTGACTTTACATAAGCACATTTCTATTTGAAACACCCTACTTCTCAGCATTTTGAGGGTGATGTTTCATTTAAAGATTAATTTCCATGGAACTGAAGGAGCCTTCCTGGGAAATAACTAGATAGTTGTCTGGGTTGCTGTTGTTATTTTTATTCAGACCCAAATGATTCTCTCCTTCCTACTGGTTAATGTTGAACATAATTCACCAGCCCTGACTTCTCTGCATAGGCTTCTGCTTCTTAATTTTGATTTATTTATGATAAAATAGGAAGTTGACACTTTAGATCTGCAAAGTGATCAACACTTCCTCTTCTCAGACACTTTCCTGTATATCTAGTCACTAATCCTGTTTTCCTAATGGGAGAAGAGAGAATGAGTTTGTTATATGATAAAACAGAATTTTGAATCTATGAATCCCACTTTCAGTATGAAAATACTATTTTGGGGGCCATATTTGCAGGGCTGGTGCTATCATTAGGCCAACTAGGCAGCTGCCTATGGCCCAGACCTCAGAGGGCGCACTACTGACCTCTGAGAGGCACAGATTTATACAGATAAGTTTTTGTTATATCTTATAAATTTCTGATAAT